GAGCTACCACCCGATACAAGCACCTTAAACCCTATGTCTTAAATTCTTGGTAAGCAGCGTGCTTTACACATAGATAATGTCCTATTGCAAACACTTCCCTGAAATACCATTTAAAAAGTAGAAAATGGCTTGAGCAAGTCTGTTAATGTGACCTGGGTATTGTCTAGCTGCTGCTGACCTGTTGTGGAGCAGAGCATGAAGCCCCTTGGTGGTACTTTTACTGCTAGCAAGGTGTTTTAGATAAAGGAGGAAGGTTTTGTTATTTTATGATTCAAAGGAAGCAAAGAAGTGGGTGAAGTATGCTGCTTTAATTTAGAAAAATAATTTGTAAAGCTTGAAAATAAGTAACAACACAAACAGATACCACAAGTGGTAAATATTACAACCTCCAGAGACTGTCCTGGCTGTTCCTGCTGTGCAGGAGTGAATGTGTCTTTCCCATAGACTTTGCTCTGTTAAAGGAAAGCTGTACTTAAGTTAAAATGTTTCACCTTCACTTAATGACACAGAGCTGGGGTCCTGCACATCTTAAACCTTGGTATGGGAGAATTGTCAGCATATTTTGATGGAAGCTTTTTATACCTTGGCATGAGTTTTTAAACGTGATGCTTAATACGTAGTTTTATTACGATTTTGTATGTGCACTAGGGAGAGATGGGTAAGCAAGGTTAGGTGAGTCTGGGCTGGACTCTGCAGCAGCCTGCTGAGAAAGTTGGTATCTGTAGATGATGGGAGATTGAGGAATGGTGTGGGAACATGAAACAGCTTGTCCAGAAGTCAGTGGCAGAGCTGCAACTATAGCCAGGCCTTGTGACTTTAAGAGCTATGTCTTCTCTGGACTCTGCTGTTTGTCCTAATGTATCTCTGAATCTGATTATCATGTCACTTTAAATTAGTGTTTGCAAGACAATTTAACTATGATTTTAGTTGTTTGTTTGTTTTTTTAATAATTCCATGTATGTCCATTTACTATTTAGTGAAATAAGTATGTTGGGGGGGGGAAAAAACATCATTAAGGATTAGATCATGTTGTGCATTGTCTGTAATGCTTCAGCAGACTGAATTACAGTGGAGCTATGCCAGTGATGACTCTGGCCCAGCACGAGCAGGGTAAGTCCAAAATTAGCTATTTGTATCCATGAGATGGAGCAAGTTTCAGGTTTAAAGTGCTTGAGCTTTGCAGAAACATTGCTCATGGGAATAGGGGCAACACAGCAAATTCCTGTCGTGGTCAGGTGGGCTTTGTTTTCTTTAACAAGAAAAAAAAGTTAGTATTTGTTTTAGGGCTAAGGAGTTAGAATACCAAATCTGCTCCTGATGCCATTTTTAACTGCTTGGAGCTGGAGATACACATACTACATTCAATCTCCTGATGGATGATTAAACAATGAATAGTTTATTTGCTTGTGCATTTGTTTAGCATGTGTTCCTTTCCCAAGTGCTTCATTCATAAGACAATGTGAAAGACAATCCAGGTTTTCTGGTGGAAGGACCTGTGGCAGACAGCAAAAGGCTGAAGAGACCTTCAAGGATTTCCATGTAATGCTGTGCTAGCAGGACTTTTCCTTCTTGGTTTTTTTTTGGTTTTTTTTTTTTTTTTTTTTATTGCTGGAGCAGGAAGTAATTTCCACCTGAAAAACCTGCCAGTCTCAGCCCATCTGATAGTTTCTTGTGCTGCAGTTACTGGTGCTCGATGGAACAGCTCAGAGGATCTGGCAGGCTGCTGCTCAGGCCCATCCTTCTCCAGAAGGGAGCTGCCTCTGAACATCTGTGCACCAGGCTGGTGGGCCCTGGTGTCAGGAGCTGACCTAGTGAGTTGTAACAAGCTGGGTCTGCATGACAGGAAGACACTTCTTCATACTCTGTTGGGGGATAAAGTTGGGAACACGTGTTCTTTTGCCCATTAAAATATATCCCTTGTAGTGGCTGTGTTGACACTGAAAACTCAGCTTTCTGGGTGGGCATTTTTGCCACTTTTCAGAGAAGCTTGAAGATCATGTGCCATTAGATTAGCACATACCCAGCACAGCCAGGGGCTTGAGTTCGTGGCCTCTCTGCCTTGCTCTGTGAACAACCTTTAGGTCTACTCCAGCTGCTACCAGACTTTTTGTATTTTTGATGGCTCTGAGAGCAAAGAGTATGGTGAGCATGGAATCTGGTGGCAGCAAGGTCTACAGCTGAGTGCAGAACCCCATGGACTTCATCCCTGGGAGAAGAGCAATGAGTTTCTAATATTATTCCTGAAGAGAGGCCATCCTGTGCACCTGACAAACCATCAGCATTTTGCCCTAGAAATAAACTGTGTTAGGCTGAACTGTGATGAGTAAAAACTCTTAGCCTATTTTAACTCTGAACTGCAGCAGCTGGGAATACAGGATGAGCACTGAGTGATTTCTAAAAGCTATGCAGTACATACAGTCTTGCTGATATGGGACAAGATAGTCAATGCTTTGTTTCAGGAGCTTTAGTGGTACTACATAGATTAAGACATAAATCTCATGTCATTTTGTAATATATTTTCATATGCATATTTTTCTTTGGATCTATTACTGTATTTTTTTTTCTATCTGTCATCAGTGGTTTAAGGGGAGCCAGGATTCTTGTATATAAGGAACACCTTCTTTTAAGTGGTGTTTTTTTTAATTTAGAAAATAGTTTTGAAGAGAGGTGGGTGTTATTTCTTGTGGAACTCATCTGATAAAGGTAGAACGTACCAACTGAAATGGAAACATGGCACATTTGCTTCTTAAAAGCAGCTGAACAAGGTGTTCCTTAAATCGTTTGCATTTTGGTGTGGAAAACCAAAGAGGAACATCTTGGGTGTGAGCACACCTTCTGTTCTGTTGGGAGCTGACCACACAATATTTACAAGAATTGACCACGTTCTTCAGATTGCCTTGATACCAGGAAAATAGGAAAACTGTAACTATAGTAGGTGGCAGAGGCTGTCTGCAAGACCATGGAGGGTGTTCTTTTGTGGCTGGTGCCCATCTGGTTTCAGTCAGGAGCAAAGGACCAGTGACAGTTTTTGTGTGTCCATGCACAAATCTGTATTTATTTTTAATGCAAATTTTAAACTACCTTGTTTTCAGTTTGTCCTGTCCCTGTATATGAGGAGCTTTCATGTTGCACAGACGTTTTTAGGAGTGTCTGCACCTTTGATTGCTGTACCCGAGGTGATCACACTCCAGGCCCTGTGTCCAAACCCTGTCTAGCTGCCACTAGACTTGTTAGCACCCTGCTCATGGTGATTTTACTGCTGCAAAACTGTCCACTAACCTACGGCCTGCCCTAGTTTTATGGGCAGGTTTTTACAGCCCTGTCCTAACCTTTGTGCTGTGGGCAGTACCCACGTGAAGCAGTGATAGCTGCAGGGCACACACTGCTCTTTGCAACTGGCTTTTGTGGCATTAGTGTGACTTTGTAGATGAGGTCTAAAGGTGCAAATCCAGAAAGTGTACACAGGCCTTTCGTCTGGCCTGCTTTCTGTCTGCAGCCCTGCTTGTCCTTCAGTGCCGTCCTCATCTTCCTCCTTGTCATCTACCCAGAGGTCAACCCCATCTTTGGGCACAGAGGTGTCTGCTCCTCACAGAAAACCTCTCTAAAATCAGAGAATCACGGAATGGTTTGGGTGGGAAGGGACTTTTCAAGGTCACCCAGTCCCATCCCCCTGCAGGGAGCAGGGAC